TCTAACATAAGAGCTTCGTCGTACATGCGTTTCGCACTTTTCAACTGTCCGGTCTGGTGTAGGAACTGCGTATATATTTCGTACATCGATGCCAGATTTCCAGCATGACTATTGCCCTCTTCACGGACTCGCTGCTTCATCACAACCAGTAGTCCCTCGAAACAACGCTCTGTCGACTCATTTTCTTTTGAATGTCCAAGCACCGCAACTGATTGTTCGTTTACAGAGGGACAAACTCAATGATGTCTTCAGTAGGCGTCGAGCCTCCAATAAGTTTTCTCGACTCTGTTTAGAAGATAGCAAGTCAGCGTCTTGTACAATTCTTCTCTTTTCGAGCACTCATTACACTCTCACATTAAATAGTATAAAAAGAGTACTCGAAAAGTTCGCCAAATTCTTTTCGTTGGTTGGATCAGCGCTGATGGGGTAGATATCCACTTCATCAGATTGGTAATAACAACTACAGAGGAATAATGCGTAGCTACCGAGATTCTATGCATAATTTTTCGTCAAGTTTTTTGGCTTTTTGATACACGTATCTCCTCGACATTACACTTGGCTTTCTCCAAGAGTTGTTCTTTCATACCCAGTTCATGAGTCTGCGTGGGAACACGAGCGGTTGTCAACACGCTCCCTAAAGTCACCCGATCGCGACGAATATGAAAAGATACTGCGGATTGTAGATCAATGAGTTTTCTCTGCTTACCAATGTCCATTCGGTCCCACGGAGGAGGATGTCGACCGTTCGGCATTGTTCGACATCGCGTCAAAAAGGGTGATTTAGAGCCAAATTTGGTCTCTGACGAGTTGTTCAACGCCGGTGAAGCTGTTGTAGAGCCGAGCGAAGACTCGATTTGGCCAATTCGTCGAAGTAATTTGTCTTCCTCCTGTCTGGCGGATGTAGCGATGCCGGATTCGATCTCTACTGCGTGGAATTTCGCCACTGCCATCGCCTCTTTTGTCCTCTCAGCCAGACATTTTAGAGCTTCTTGATGTTTCTCAATGAGCAGCATAGCATCTTCTTGCATTAACTCGAGAGAAACGTGGTTATTGTTGGTGGAAGTCAGCACGTCGCACGTAACGAGTTCGTGACCGTAGTAGTTCTCCTGTAGCCGTCGACGCTCACGTTCGAGTGCTTGTAACTTGGCCGAGATCTCACAGAGAGATAGCTGTATTCCAGCCTTTTGCAGCGATTGGTCTACTAGACGCTGCTGCTCTTGACGAGCTGTGTGTAGTTTAGTGCGGAGATCGAATAACTCGCGCTGTAAATGCTCCACACGGTCGTCACTGAATTCAGTACTTTTAGAATCGATCTGGGCGTCAATTGCCTCCTTCTTTAACTTCGTGAATGAAAGTTGCGGCGTCAATGCATTAGCTTTCGGCTGTAGTTCTGGTCTAGAATCTCTCTCGATATTGACCGAATTATAGAAAATAAACTCGCTCGCAGTAGAATACACACTGGAATTTGTCTCCGATTTGGTCTCATCCGCTTCATCATCGTTTGAACCAGTTCGACCACTCACCGACTCAAGAGAAGTATCGAAATTTATTCGTCCGCTTTGGCTTTCCAGCTTTTTGAACGTGTTCATCAATCTCTGGATCAAAGCGTGTCGTCTCGCTTCTCCCTTCAACCCTGGCGTCTGTGTTGAAATATTTCGCAGCTCCAATACACTACGCAGCTCCGACAATGGCAACTTGTCCAGCGCTTGAGTACCAACTACCACGTCCTTATCGTCTGTATTTCCGACCACTAGACCACTCGCCACCCTGACCTGATGCAGCCTTTTGACCAACTCATCACGCCTCGCCTCCCCTCTCAATTTCCCGGTCGCTGTTGACTCGCCTAGCGCCGTCAGGGCGTCTTTCAACTCCGACAACGACAGCATTTTAGCTGGAATAGAATGTTGATGTCAAACGACAGCATCATCTACATTTAGTACTTCAGTAAGTATAAAACAGAAATATCTTGGCAGTGCTAACGTTAATGCGACCTGCATACAGGCAACCAAAGGGAACAAAATGTCCCCAACACTATAATACAGCGGTTTAAGAGCAATCCGCCTCGGTCTTGACAAAGACGTGCATGCAATTTGGTATTTGGACCCCGGCACATGGGACCCTCACAACTCAGTTCCGATTGCGCTACGTAAGATCCACAAACATCGTCGACAATGTGGTCATTCCTCTCTGGACGCTCAAACAGCACTTTACACTCGATCGACTTCCCATTACAAGCTTTACAAGATGCTATCTCCACTGGCAACGAGAGCAACGTCTGGAAAGTGCTACGTCAACAGCGTATCCGCAACGAGCTTATCCACAGCACTACGACTCACAAAGTACCAAGGGATGCGCAACAGCAGAAATGCAATGTCTTTACATGCGTCCAAGCTGCTGTTCAGGAAAATCTGCCTCGCGTCGTGCTCGCAATGTACCGCTTCAATCAAGACGACGTTCGACTCGCGACGTGGTATGCGCTTTACCGTCTGAAGAGCGATCAAAAGGTTAAACTCTCGCGTGATCTAATAGCACTTGCTCAAACTCAACGTCGCCTGTGGCTCTGGGATCGTATTGGAGCGCTTGTGCTGCTTCGACATAGGCAAGTCACTCCACGGCGAGCCAGTCAACGACAGGTCTACGCTGTACATCCCGTCGCGTTGACCCCTGTCGAAGCATTCAAGATCATTCTGAGCTTCATTGACTTGCACGAAAGTCGAGAAGCTCGCTTGCTTAAGTTCCTTATTGAAGCACGACAGTGTCCGATATGTTCGAGATTATGTATCCCCGGTCATTGTAAGGCCGGACGTCTGCGCAAGATGGAGAGACGAGTATCCAAGCGGCCATGACTTTTATATTATCATTATTTCTCCGTCCCCCCCATTCAGTAATATCTCCTTTTTTTTTATCATGTAACCCTCGTAGCCCCCTGAGTAACCTCCCTCTATTCAGTCATTTTACTTTTCGGTCATCGAATGAAACGAGCTCCCCGCAATGATTCGAGTGTCTCTCGCTTCCATGACGCGCTGCGCCACGGCCAAGTGGACGTCGTACGTCGTATGATCTATCGAGACTCTTCTCTCGCCAATGCGCGCTCCAGTTCGAACCCACACACGACATCTCTCATGATCGCTGCTTCCAGTAGTCAGCCCCTAAAAACCACATTAACGCTGGTAAAGCTTCTTCTAGCCAAAGGAGCTTCATTGCGCACCAAGGATGATCATCGCTGCAACGTCCTCATGGCTGCTTGCACCTCCGGAGCACATCCAAATGTCGTTAAGTGTCTTTTAGACTGGGACGACGCCGAATCAAAGCGTAGAGTTTTATCATGGAGTGATAAGGACGATGAAGGACGAACGGCATTGGGTCTCGCGTGTTTAAACGGCCATGGGCGACTGGCGTCCTTTATATTGGGTCTTACGATGGATGAAGAGGCTCAAAACCACTTGTACGCACTCGATATGGCACTTAGGAGCGAGGACGAACGCTGTGTGATGGAGCTACTACGCAATAATAAGCTGCGATGGCTAGTAAAGTATGACAGAAGAGAGGAGAAGCTGATATCACATGGAGAGTGGAATCAGACCCAGAATCAGACGACGAACAGCTACGAGGAAGAGGTTACAGTGGCTACTTGTGTAGCCAAAGCCGTCAAGCTCAACATGGTGCGTGTAGTGAAGGAACTTCATCGACTGAATCGACTCTGCGTTGGCCATGCTACTTGGTTTGCCCTGTGCAGCAAATGCGAGGTACATCCTAGAGCTAAGACCTCGATTGTGCGGTTACCTGGTACCGTAAGACCGGAATTTGAGGAGATTGCAGCTCTGCATCGTCGAGATTGCGTGTGGCAACGTATTAAAATTGTATTCCTGATTCGCTACGCGTCTGAGCTGGATCAAGGGAATGTATTGATGGAGCTGAATATTGTGGCAGAGCTGCCAGATGCGGTGTTTCGTATTGTGGCTGAGTTCTTAAAGCCGAAGTTTAATGATGCGGACGAAGCTCAGAAGGAAAGATTTAAGGCTGTACTCGATCTCTCATCGTGGTAGACTCGTGGTATATGTGATTGAAATCATAGAACGTCAAAATATCTCGATTTGGATGTTTTAGAGGTGATCAGATAGTATTAAGAAACTTATTAAAAATAATATTTTTAATACTGAAATTATGTGTTGACAGTTGTCAAATTGAGGCTGCACCGAGCGCCACCGCCAGAGGCGAGTTGTTAAGCACACGAGCTGCACCCTTCAAACTACCAAGTACCTTCGTAAATGGATTAACTAAGTCTGGCGTGGAGTACAAGCTCGCAACTTGAGCTGTAGTGGCATCCCACTCAAACCGCACCATGATTGGAATTACTATTTGTCTTCCAAGAAGCTTTTCCGCCAGTGGTGATAGTCTGTTGTCCATATCAATGAGGTGTGAGAAGCTGAACTGCAGCACTTCTTCCGTTATCGTGATGAGCATTTGAACGGTTGCTAGCATCATGGCTCTGTCGTCATACTCGAGCCGTACAAGCTACACTGCCAGGCTTCCAGTCTTTTGCGGGACAAATGCCCACTCTTTCAGAAGAGCGTCGATACCGAAGCCGCTGTTAACACAAATGTTCGTCGCCATAGCCTGGTGTAGAAAAGTTTTCTGAATCTGAGCCTCTCTCGGGTGAAACGTGTGTTCTCTTGAAATCGGCACCTGGGAGCCGTGTCGAAACAGTCGATAGTATTCCGCCACGACGCTCCAAGGAGTTTTCTCGGTCGGAGTGCAAAGGGGGCGGTTGTACTCTATTTCGAGTCGTCGGATCTCCTGTTTAAGACGTCGCGTATCGCTTTCTAGACTCTCTGCATGCTAGTTGATCTTTATTCGATGGCGTTGCTGAATTACTCGCCGGTTCTCGCGAAGTTTAGCCTCTGATTCAACGAGAGCCTTCATCAGTTCTCGTGTGATCTTATGCCTTGGTATTTTACTACATAACGAAGTAATCGTCGCCCGTATTCCTTTATTCGTCGATTCAATAGCGGGGCAGAGCGATGAATCCGAAAGACTCCATTGAGTTGCTTGGACATTGAATTGCGTCGTCTCTTCAATACCGTGCATTGAAGCGACTTGGTTGTGACGCTGAACGCCAGACCGCTGAATTACCTTACCAATGATAGCGTCGCTGAAATGTTGGCTAAAGTGCGGGAATAGCGTTTCGTTCTTCATGCCAACTAATAGGAGGGATGATGCGGTATGAGCTGAATGCCTGGGATGCTTACCCGCTCTTGGTGAGGCAATATTGATAGTGAAGTGCCCTTTGCATTCCGCGGGCAGACGACACCAAAAGAGACGAGTCGTTGGCCGTTGACTTCGATCCATTCTGTCACGTAATCTTAAATCACTCACCGTCTGTATATCTATAATGTTGGCGCAAAACCAGTAAACTTTTGGCTTATTGCAAGACGTAAACAGAACCCTCTTCATGTCTGTCTTTCCTCTAGCGTCCCCAGCTAAGCTCAGCATCATGTAGCCGTCTATTGGCGCTGGTGGGATTCCGTTTGTTATCGCGGCTGATGTGAACGGAGTTTTAACTCCGTGCTGACAATATATTACTTACTCCGGAGTACATCGAATGCTTGTTAAACGACGAGGTCGTGATGTTTACGAGCGCATTGAAATTTAATCAGCTCTCGTAGCTTGAGAAATAGTCCAAATATTTATGCTTAGGATATTTAACAGGCTCGAACTCACTCTCCCAGTGGACAGAGCACTACCAATTATATATATACATCAGGATCCGACGCGTCCTCTTCGACGTGTTCTATCAAGCTTTTCAACCGTGTTATCACACCTCGCTTCAGGTCTG